GAGGAAAGCAAGAACTGTGAGCACAATAATCTTTGGAGAACGTACAGTCCTTTGGGTATTAGTCTATTCAATCAGGTGCTTAGTCAGATGGAGTGTTTTCTTAAGTGCTACTGAAATGCACAGTTCAGTCTTCCATTATTTTGATTACATTGATGGGACATTCAAGCTGTGCAGTCTTACCTTTTATTTCCCTAGCCTACCTAAGCCAGTTTGAAGATTAACTGTAGGTGAACAGGTAACCTTATCTACTTGGCTAGGAGTCACCCGTCCACATGAAACACATGTCAACAAAGGCCCCCTAGGCTTGGGAACCTGTGAGAAGTTCACTTAATCTTGTGGCATTTCTAATGGAAACCAACGTGAAAAGTCAGGAAGTCTGACTTATTGGAGGCAGGGCATGAGTATGGGAGGTGGCCGGGAGTAGAGAGAAAGAAGAGAGTGTGTGTAGATGTATGTGAGGAGGAGAATCCAGAGGTAATACAGTAAAGAACTGTGCATTCAGGAAATCTTCAGAGTTGAATGCTGGAATCTTTTATTCTGAGAGGGTGGTTGGTTACTGGGGAATAGGACCGGAGCTTACTAATCACTTCATTATGCGGCTTTGGGAGTTGTTTAGGTGAGGGACTTGGATGACAAGGGCCTTTCCCCTGCCCGTCTGTATTAGCAGCTCAGGGGAAAAAAAGGAAGAAATAGCTTCGTATAGAAAGTTACATGTCCAGCAGTTCCAAGATTTCTGTTGCCAGGTTTCTAAAGTGCGCTCCCCAGGATGGCAATTGGGTCATGTCGCTGACTCCCCCGCCCCCCGTCATATTAGGGCCTCAGCCTGTGTCCTGTCACCTTTGGACTCTCCCTTTTCCTGCAGGCTCGCTGCTTTTTCAATTCCCTGACATTTAGGGATCTAGTATTTCACAGTGCCTGAGGTAAGCAGTTGCTGTACCCTTGATACTGGATACCTTTCTGAACTATTACACTGTAGCAGATAATCGGGTGGTCACAGTTAAGTTATAGGACAGGTTCTGGTACCTGTACCAGCGGGGACAGACTCCCTTTGCCTGCCCTCACACAGCTGTGGGGAGAGCAGGGGTTGCAGCAAAGTGCTGTGAGGCCGGTTGAGCCTTATGCAGTGCCAGTTCCTACCCTACATCTGAACATGAAAGTGGCTCGTTAAAGATTAAAGGCACTGCCTGGTCCTTCTGGCCCCAGGATGGAATGATCCCCGCCATGGCGACAGCCTCTGTCTCCCAGGAGAGGCCATTTTATACAGGAGGTTTGTGCTTCCAAATGTTACAGTGAGCCTGCGTTGGCTGATACTGTGGTGATAAGTTGGCATTTGGGTACTCTGAAGACATATGAGCTATATAGCATCCCATGGTTTGAATTTCTGGGCAAAACTGCCTCATCAGGAAGTCAAAAGCCTCTACTTTCAACCTGCGCCTTTGGGGAGGTTTTATCCCTTCTTTTATTTGAGTATTCTGTTGAGTCAAGTGAACTTTAATTTTCACAGCCATAAAAATTCCATTAAGCCCCTTGTACTGCATCCCAGGTGTGAAAATGTCTCCATATAATGACTGTGGGTGACAGCTAAAATCCTTAAGAGTAGTTAGGATAATTGTCTCTGGAGGATTGAAGAAAATAATGGTCCAGTTGACAAAATAAATACAGTTCAATTGTTATGTTCTTGGCTGTTCTTGTGGGTAAGGGGACTAGTGTCCAAGAGCTTCTCAGACTACTGCTCATTTTGGTGGTCTTTGAAATAAAACTTTTCATTTTGTAAACAGTGCTCAGGGAACATAGCTGTATGACCAATCTCTCAAAATATCCAAGGCCACCTGCATCAAAATCACGTGGGAGAGGAAGTTCTTTATTTAAAATTCTGATTCTGGGGCCTTTCTCTGCATTCGTGCTAATTCAGAATGTCTGAGGGACTGGGATGGGAAAGAATCATTTTTAATAAGCACTTCTGTTGATTGTTAAGTACCCCTAGAGTGGATTGTCGAGTATCCTAAAATTTACTTTATTTCTCATATTTAATTTCTGTGATTTATTAGATGATAGATGTTTGGTTGATGCTCATTAGTCTTTTTCGAAGAGGAGGTACTCTAGTTTTTTGAAAAAAACGTAAGATCCGACAACTCCAAGGATTAGAATTTGGCAATGTCCGAAAGTCTCCACAAGGAGAGCCAGCCAGCCACTGGTTCCTGAAAACTTGGATTCATCAAGTTAGCTCCTTCTCAGTAAGAAAAAGGATATGGACATAAATAGGATTAATTTGTTGAACAGAATAAATGCAGTATCATTTAGGATGTTGGGGAGGGAAAAGTAGGAAAAAGGGAGATGTTAAGAAGAAAGAGTGAGAAAGGGGAAAGATTAGTTCATAAATGGTAAAAACTTTTAAATTAACCCAATTTTAAATTACTAATATTTGAATATGTGTTTCTTGCAAAAATAAAAAATTCTAATACTCATAAAGCTAAGAATACCTCCTTGATCTGTTCCCACCACAGCTCCCTCCCTGGTATGTGTATCGTCCCATTATCTTTTTGTATGTATTTGGTAATTTTCCATGGATTTGGAATACTACAGAATCATGAGATGTGAATATTTTTATTTCTCTTTTGACACCTGCTTACTGTTTATAATGTTAAGATCTCTTGCAGGAAAAAAAAAAGTAGCCTATAAATGGCATTACATATTCCTCTTCAAGAAAAACAGTGAGTATGAGTGTGTGCAAGTTTTATACACACACTTTAGTGATATTTATATCTCTTATGACCACCCATAAAATGTACCTTTAGGTGGGTGACTTGTCTGAGTTTTAAGATAATGCATTGAGAGAAATTACTAAGCACAAAGCCAAATTATTTTTCTTATTTTCATGTAGGTTCATAGTCTCATAGTTTTCATGTAACCTCACATGTACCTGAGTCATTTGCTCAGATTTAGCCTCTTTTTAAAGCCCTAAATCAGTGTAATCCTCAGCCTTTCCAGCCTAAAAGAAGGAACTGGGATGGGGTATGGTTATATTTTGGAGAAAAAGATGGGAACTGTACAGAATCCAAAACAGGGAAATGATAATCTGCAACAGTTCTTCTCACCTGCTAAATGGTGTTTATTTTAGCAGAGTTAGGAAATTCTGATGCTTCTGGCTCCTGTATTTTTCTTTATATAATTCACATTTACTTCCTGGCCACAGTACTATCTGAATTTTCTCTTCCTTATTTAAAGTTAACTAATATATAGAACGTGCCAGAAGCTTCTAACAATAATGGTTTTTTTCAAAAGAGGTTTCCTATTTGTCCGTTTTTTATGTGTCTTGAGGGTTGCTCCATATTAGAATGTTTGTAACTTATCATCAACTACAGAAATTTTTTTTTAAAGTGTGGTCCATGAGATAACAGTTGCCAACTGCCCTAAAGATGTCTTTATCATTTGAAAAGAACTAATTAACACATACTGTAGGAAAACTTTAAATACAGCCATTTCCTGAAAAGGAAAACACTGAAAGGGAGCAATAAAAGAGGGAACATTTTATGAAACCTTATAAAAGCTCAGTGTGGCTATCCTACTGGAATAATGTAATTAAGGGGAATTAAGCCAGTTGGATAAATAACTTTTTTTTTAAACTAGCCCCTTGAAAAGGAATAGAATTAAGTAGCATAGTTTTTAAACCCAAATTCTGACAGTCTGCATGTACATTTTAACTAACCTAATAACATTTATTGAGTGACAAGTTGAGTTGGCAGCTATACCCCGAGTTCACGCTGCAGGGGACCTACCTTGAAGAATGGACAGGGCTAGGTGTGGTGGCCTTGAATGCCCATGCTGAGGAAAAGCTGACGGCCTTGGGAAGTTTTGAGCAGGGAGCAGAAGGATCTGATGTGAACTTTAATGTTTCTTTCTTGTCTAATGAAAAACAAAAAAAAAACCCACATAAAGCAAGGGCTTAATCTTTTGTTTTCTTTGTATAGCACCATTCTAGCCGGTCAGGGCAAATTCAATAATAATTAATAGCTGTTGATGAGCCAGTCATTCTAGAATTGATTTTTTTTTTTAAAGATTTTATTTATTTATTTGACAGACAGAGAACACAAGTAGGCAGAGAGGCAGGCAGAGAGAGAGAGAGAGAGAGAGAGAGAGAGAGAAGCAGGCTCTGCACTTAGCAGAGAGCCCGATGCGGGGCTCGATCCCAGGACCCTGGGATCATGACCTGAGCCTAAGGCAGAGGCTTTAACCCACTGAGCCACCCTGGCGCCCCCTAGAATTGATTTTTTTAATAAGCTGGCCAATAAATGAGAATCGACACAGATTTAGGGATTTTTCTTTTAAAAGCAAGTGTTAATACAGTTTTCAGAGACTCCTGGATTCCTTAAGCATCCGGTAGGTATGCTGGTGGATAATGTGGCTTTAACTGTGTGTGGCAGCTGATTAAAGCCTTCAGTTACTTCTGTCTTAATTAGAGATTCTGCACTGTCTAGGGAAATAGAGAGGTCAGGGATGGCCTAATGGGGAAACAGAAAGGAGAGCCTGGTTAAAGCTGACAAAAATTCACTCGGGTGATTTGACCAACTAGCGATGACCGGACAAGTTCCTCAATTCCTCTGACCCAGATGTTCTAATTTATAAATGCAAAGTGACTTCTTTATCAGCCTCTCAGGGGAGATCTTCAAGGCTGTGAAACTGCTACCTTCAGTAATCTTGCTGTCCTGAGCCCCAACCTGTTCTCAAATGAAATTTCAGAATGTGACCCGTGGAGCCTTCCAGGTAAGGGCTCCAGGGTCCGCTGAGCAACCAGCAAGAAGGGAGTGAGGGACCAGCCCCCATTAGTCAGCACTCCATTTAAAAAAATCAGTGGGGCACCTCTTCTTTTCTGAGTTGCGGTTGATTGCGTTGGCTCCGGCTGGGTTGTTTGGGAAGCAGGAGTTTGCCTCGCATGAGTCAGCACTGCCCCGGGTAAACTGCCTGCTCTGTTGCAATCTTGCTTACTTACCAAAGACACGTCCCCAGGCGGCACCATTCACTTTGCCTGAAAGCTGCTGCTGTTGGTTCCTGAGATGAGCTCATCTGAAATGGCTCCAAGGACCTCAGCGGCAGGAACTGGAGGCTGCTTGCTCTCTGCTGTGGTAATGTTTTGAAACAGGCAAAATCAGGTAACCCCAGACTGTTTTCTCTTAGTTTTACTAGCTAGACTGAGCTGCAGGAGGAATGGGAAATCCTTTGTCTTCAGAATTGCCTCAGCAGTATGGGTATCTTAAAGTCAGTCCCTTAGGCCTTTAGAAGAGGTCTTGAGGGGGAAAGTTTCATTTCATTTGGGATCTGGATGTGGTTTTAGTCCTAAGTAGACCATTTATCATAGAAACCTTAGAGAAGACAAACATATCAGGTTTACAGCTTTTATCCATCTTTTGCTCTTGTATTTTCTGTCCTTTTTTGTGTCTTGTGAGAAATAGTTTAGTCAAACTAAACCATTATTAGAGAAAGAGAGAGAAGCAAATGTATTTTATTATCTATCTAATCACTGGAATATTGAATTTTAGGGAAACACTGTCTTATCAGCAAGTTTCCATATTTTTCTCTGAGGTACTATGAAGAACCTCCCCTCATCCCTAATTCTGTTCAGACTACTGCTCTATCTCCCTCCTGCTCTTCACTTCAAAACTTTTTAACACTTAAGCCTCACTGCTAGGCAGTTGCCCCTCTCAGAGTTTGCTTCTGCTCCTTACAGTTCCCCTCAGATGGCCCATGTGTTCTTTTACCCCAGGCCTTTACACCAGCCAGCTCTCTCTAAAACACCCTGCCCCAACTTCACCTGGCTGGCTTCAGAGCCAGTCATTTCTTCCATGGAGTCTTTTCTTACTCACCAAGACTGGATGAGTACATAGGACAGCACTGTTTACTCTGATCATAGCGTACGTCAAGAATCAGTGTCTGTTTTGTTAGAATGATATCCATATTCCTTGGGACATGGTTGGTTCTCAGTAAGGGTAGAATGAGGAGGAACCTATATTGTATACTTCCTCAACTCTGATTCTCTTATCAACCCTTTGTTATTTTGGCTTCTGCCCACATTACCTTACTCATGTTTTCCTAAAGATCATAAGTAAACTCCAGATTACCAAACCCAATGTTGTGGTTTCAGCCTCCACCTTACTTAATCTTGGCCTGGCATTGTGGCACTGTGGGGCCATTCTTCTTTCCCCCAGTGACCCTCTTCATCTGGCTTTGAGGTTACCTTGTCTCTTTTGAGTTTCCAGAGTATCCTTCTATTATTTCTTTGCATTCTCTTTTGGCTATCCCATAAACGTTGAGAGGCTCCAAGACTTCACCTTGGGCATCTTTCCACTCTTCCCTCGCCTCCCCCCACCATCCCTTACTCCAAGGATCTCAAATAGGCCCGTAAATTCAGCTATCCTCAGTATGTTTAGTAGTCCAGCTGTCTCTCCCAAGCTTCAGATCTTTATTTCCAACTTGATAAACTTTACCCAACTTGAAAAACCTACCAGAGTGTTCAAAAGGGATCTAAAATGGCATACGTTATCTTCCCACCGAGGACCAGTCAGCTGCTTCTGTTGCTGTAGGTTTGAACTCTGTTAATGATGTCTACCAGGTCTTCCTGTTCATTGTTTATGCCTCACATCACCTAAATATGCTAAGTCCATGGTTGCTAAGTGCTTTTTTTTTTAAGATTTTACTTATTTTTTTGACAGAGACACAGGGGGCGTGGGAGAAGAACAGTCTTCCCATGGAGCAGGGAGCCCGATGCAGGACTCGATCCCAGGACCTGGGATCATGACCTGAGCCAAAGGCAGATACTTAAGACTGAGCCACCCAGGCACCCCTCTGCTAAGCGCTTTTGATGATGTTATTGGAGTACCGTTTGATCGATGTGTGGCTTTCCTTCATTCCCACTGTATTGCCTTAATTTACTAGACATTTTGTTTAACCAGCCCAATGTCTTCAAATTTTGTGTGTGAATACTTAGAGACAGCGCCTGCACTCTCAAAGATTACAGGTAACCATTCTCCCAGATGTTAAAGACTAAAGATGTCACATTTTACCCACTTTGCCTCCAGGAATTTGAGTAACTTCTGGTTGAGAGCCTTATCAAATCTTCTTTTTAAAAACTATTTATTTATTTATTTGTTTGTTTGTTTATTTATTTATTTTTACATAACCTCTACCCCGCAGTGTGGGGCTTGAACTAGACAACTGGACAAGAATAAGAGTTGCATGCTCTGCTGACTGAGCCAGCCAGGTGCCCCCTCCATCCAGTCTTGACCGGGCTTTACCACCCCACCTTAGGTCTTTCTCTGCTCCCGTCCCCTCCACGTTGTTGCCAAAGTTATATTCCTAAAGGCCCAGATCAAATGTTCTCATTCTCAGGTTTTCAGAGTGCCATTAGATTCCTGTTTTCTACTTAGCTTGACAGGTAAAGCCCTTTAGAATGTCACCTTGTCCTACCTGTTACTGTTACCCGGCTTACCTCTCTCCTTTCCATCCTCACCGAATTTCTCCCATCTTCCCAGTCTCTAGTTATAGCATGTTGTTCTAGGTGAAGTGGCCTCACCCTCTTGACTCGCAAAGTACTCATCCCCCAGGAGACTTATTCATATGCGAAACCTTCCCTGCCTTCGTCAAGTAGAGTTAGAGTTGTTCTCCTTATTTGGACTTCCACAGCACTGTCTGTTTCTTCTAGTAGACTGTTCCTTCTCTACACCTGCTCCCTGGCCGAGAGCCCAACACTATCAGACAGGGCTGAAGTGGGTCCCCAGTGTCAAACCATTAGTCCAAACATCTTTATTAGTCTTGGCAGTATTAGAAAATTCGTAAGCTGGGGCGCCGCGCCTGGGTGGCTCAGTGGGTTAAAGCCTCTGCCTTCGGCTCAGGTCATGATCTCGGGGTTCTGGGATCGAGCCCCGCATCGGGCTCTCTGCTCAGCGGGGAGCCTGCTTCTCCCTCTCTCTCTGCCTGCCTCTCTGTGTACTTGTGATCTCTCTCTCTCTGTGTCAAAGAAATAAATAAATAAAAAAAATCTTAAAAAAAAGAAAAGAAAAGAAAATTCGTAAGCTGTCTTGTTAGGTGGCATGTTTTTAGTTTCTGTTTGGTGAACTTGAGCCCGTGGTGCTATTCCATATATGTCACCTGAAATCATCAGGTTACCATTCAAAGTTAATTTGAAGATTTATTGGGCTTGCTGAAACTTAGTTCCACATTATCACCTAACATTTTTATAATACTTTACAAAATTATTTCCCTTGTGTCATTTTATTTGACACCTACAATATTCTGTGTTGGGTAGGTTTTATTATCCCTATTTTACTGGTGATTATAAAGCTACTTTTGACATTGAAGTATACATTCAGGTAAGACTTCAGAGAGACAGCATGTTTTTACATTGCGTTAAGCAACTGGTTTGTCTCTTTGTAGTTAAATACACCCTATTGGTTTCTACAGAAAAGGTGCTTTGCTCAGTAGGCAAGTGCTAAAGATCTTGCCTTTTATAAGGCCGCTTTACCATCGAAGTAGAAGGAGGTACCCAGAGCCTTCTGACCTACAGAAAGGCCTTGAATGTGCTTAGAGACCTTGATTGAAATTAATGGTGTGCCTTCCAACCTCAAGCTTTTCTTTTCTTTTTTTTTTTTTTTAAGATTTTATTTATTTATTTGACAGAGAGAGATCACAAGTAGACAGAGAGGCAGGCAGAGAGAGAGAGGGAAGCAGGCTCCCCGCCGAGCAGAGAGCCTGATGCGGGACTCGATCCCAGGACCCCGAGATCATGACCCGAGCCGAAGGCAGAGGCTTAACCCACTGAGCCACCCAGGCGCCCCCAACCTCAAGCTTTTCTATCATGCTTCAAATACCTAGAATTTATTAAAAACATATTTCAATAATGGAGTGTCAGACCAGGTTGATGAGTGAAGGGAGTCAGCACAAGATAGAGTAAGCGGAGTGTTAAGAACCCAAAAGGTTTCATGGTAATTTCAGTAAATGGTTACATTTGTAGGGTAATAAACTTTTGTGGAATTGGATTATGGAAAGATGAACCATAAGGGCTAGGAAGTAATCTCTGTTAAGTACTGGCATGTGGCATCTAGTTTCTGTCATTCTCTTCCCCACCCCCGCCGCCCCAATACTTGAGAGGATAAAAATGATTAAAAAGTTTAAAAATAAGTCCTATCATTATAAGTTTTTTTTTTTTTAAGATTTTATTTATTTATTTGGCAGAGAGAGACCACAAGTAGGCAGAGAGGCAGGCAGAGAGAGGAGGGGAAGCAGGCTCCCCACTGAGCAGGGAACCCGATGTGGGGCTCGATCCCAGGACCCTGAGATCATGACCCGAGCCGAAGGCAGAGGCTTAACCCACTGAGCCACCCAGGCGCCCCTGATTATAAGTTTTTTAAAAAAGGAATGATTTTAGCCGACAGAAGGAAAAGCTAAGGGATGGCTCGATTACCATCTTCAAGTATAAGAATAGTTTTTGCTGGGGGGATTTTGACTAACTGTTCTTCCCGTACTTCAAAGATTTAAGAGGACATGGGCTTAAATTGAAGGGGGAGAAATTGTAATGAATATGAAGAAGAGTTTCTTGGTCATCAAAGCTGGGAAACAGTTGAATGATTGCTGAAAGTGAGTTGGATTTCTGACTATTTCAGTATCTACCAGTGTGTAGCAAATCATCCTAATATGTTTAGTAGCTTCAAATGACAGCCATTTTATGGCTCATGATTCTGTGAATTGTAATCCAGGGAAGAAGGACATATCGCCTTGCTCCAGGTGATTTCATTGGACTGGGAACTCCAACATGGCTTCACTCAAAATACGTGGGTTTCTGTGCTAGCTGTTGGCTGAGACATCTTGGTTCTCCTCCCTGAGGTTGGACTCTCTCTTGGTGTCTCATCAGTCATTAATCAATATGGGGTTCCTTTTACATGGTGGTTGACTTCCAAGGCAGCCATAATGAAAGCCGTAGGGCCTCTTAAGGCCTAGGCCTGGGAGTCCTTCATTATCACTTTCCTCATTCTTTTGGTTGAAAAAGTCACAAATGTAGCCCACGTCGAAGGGGAGGGGACACTTCGGGAAGGGTAGAGTATCAGTGTCACACTGCTAAAGGCCATACAGTATGGTTGAGATTATTGTGACCAATTTGGAA